TTCACTGTGTGTAAAGCTTATCACAGAATAAGGCTCCCATTTAAGACACGTAAGGACCAGTTTGTGGAGTCACAGTGCCCTGCCCAAAGCTCATAGCTGATTCTAAAGCGGACCATGAATTCTCTTTTATCATTCATTGGAGGTATTTGTAGACACGATATACAGATATTGAATACAGCCGATGTCAGTCGATTAACCGGAATGTATAAACTTCAAAAATTACTAGAACTCAACACTAAAAAAATATTAAGCACAAACTACTAGATTTCCTCACAGTTTCATAACCTACTGATCTGTTTACTGGTTTCACTCAATCTGGAGGACCATATTGTGAATATAATTATACCTTTTGTCTTCCCTTAAAAGGCAGTATTTTGATGCATTGACTAGGGCTACTAATGGGCAGTAATCAGTTATGCAATGTAATTTTCACAAATCATGCCTAATGTGACTGAAAGGGGAGGGGTCCGGCTGCTCATGGCTCAAAGGTCAATGAAGAGGCAGAGTTGGTGGAAAGGAAAATTTGTTTTATTCTGGATGTTGGCAACTGAGGATGAGGGCAGGTCCAAAGACTGACTCCATCCCACTGACATTCAGTGGGCTAGAGCTTTTAATAAGGTAAGAGAGGGGGCTACAAGCAGAAACAGTGCAGTCAGCTTTGACAACCACCTTGAAATTGGTCATTGGTGGTCTGACCAGCATCATCTTGTTTGAAGTACAGTTAATCCTCAGTTTCAAGGTTGGTTTGTTTCTATTTCTTGAGGCCAGTCCGTTCTCAGAAATCGACAGCTTATGTCATGGAGCCTCCAGGTGGGGCAGCGGCTCTGTGCACACATGTGGGGAGCCCTGCAAGGAGCTGGCCATGGGGGTCCTGGTCTTTAGGGTCTTCAACTGTCTAGCAGGCCCTGATGGAACTGTGGCTGCCTCAGGGGTGTGCCCTGGGAGAGCATATTTGCTCTAAATTTGAGGAGTTCTGTGAGCTGCTGGGTGGGGGGGTCCAGTCTTGGGAAGGTTTGCCCCCCCCATGGGTGCATTCAGTGGACAGCTGGACCCCAGCTCCTTCTGCCTGGGGTGGCCCTCTAGTTATTTTCTACAAGCTGAAGTAACCAAGGAAGATTCCACCAGGGAAACACTCATACTTACAGGGTCCTCCATGGAGGGCAAGGCCAGCAAAGCTGAGAGAGAGCTCCTTGAGGAGCCGTGACCTTGAGGAGCCTTGACCTTGAGGAGCTTTGACCTTGAGGAGCCTTGACCTTGACTTGCTGGTGTTATATGAGGAGATCCTTGTTGGGACAGCAGCAGTGTCACTGGTGCTTAAGTGAAGGTGTGGACATTGAACACACTTGTGAGTTGAGGCTGTTGGCCACATCTGGGTTCCCCAGGCACGCAGTTTGAGAACCACTGTCTCAGACGCAACACCTTCAAAGACAGAAGCAGAGAGCAAGACCCCAGAGAAGGGAAGGGTTTCTTCATTCTCGATGGTTTTTTTCATTTCTGCTTAAAAGTTTGGTGGCTCAGACAAGGCAGGAGACCCAGGTTCAATCCCTGGGTCAGGAAGATTCCCCTGGAGAAGGGAATAGCAACCCACTCCAGTATTCTTATCTGGAGAATCCCATGGATGGAGGAGCCTGGTGGGCTACAGTCCATGGGGTTTTAAAGAATCAGACACAGCTGAACGACTAACACACATGTCATGGCTACAGTTCCAGTCATCATGTAGTTAACTTCACCACCAGGTAGGGATTTCAGTATCTACAAGACAGCTCACAAGATATGGCTCAAAATATTACCTATAGCCCTTGAGAAGAAACTAAAAGTTCTTGACTATGCTTAATGACTAAACTATTATTATTTGGTCTCCTTTGACAGTTTTCCTTTCTTTCTACATGCTCTCACTTCTCTGATTTAACTTATTCTTTGGCTAAAGTTTTTCTCACAGACAAAAGGCAGGCAGAGGACCTGGGGAACAAGGACCATAAGATCCTACTTCATTTCACTGATACTTGCAAGAATACAGTATTTTAAATGTAAAAGTGATCATGGACCTCATCAGGGCCTGACATGGGGGGCAAAAATCGTGTTACAGATTTGGAGGTGAGGGAAAATTGTGTCTTTAAGAGAAAATGGCTCACATACTAATATAAATATTGAATTATTTTTATGATCACTAAATATTTTTGAGTTGCAAAAATGTTATAAACTATATTAGTAGGATGTATTAGCATATCTAAATTTTTAATAATGCCATACTTTTAAACAAAAACTTATCATTGACAAAGACACTGTTGACACTGTGTATTTTATCTAAATTGAAGAACCCTGAAAGCTATGTAATTGTAACATTTGTGGTTTGTCTCTTCGTGCATCTTAATGTTGAATTATTTACAAGATTTTCCACTGCAAACAAGCAGTTAACACAAAGAAGTACTTCTCGATCCAGTGACTTAGAAACACACGGTGTCCATCAGCCGCTGTGCTGGAGTTGGCAGCAGTCAGAACAAGGTTTACAGTTTTACTTGGAAAGTAGCCCTTCTCAGCCTGTATCCCAGGCTGGACTCTTAGTTAAAAAATAACAATAATAATTATAAAAAAATAATAATACAATTTAAAAAATAAATGGGGACACTGTAGTGTGGCTTCTACCTGCTAACCCGTGACCCATGAATAACTATCAGCTCCCTCATGGAATCCAGTGCTTCCTTCATAGCACTTAAGTGTGTTGATCACTCAGTTGTGTCCAAGTCTATGACCCCATGGACTGTAGCCTAGCAGGCTCCTCTGTCCATGGAATTCTCCAGGCAAGAATATTGGAGTGGGTTGCCATTTCTTTCAACTCCCCATCTTTATATATTTTTCTGTCTTTTTAAAAAAAATCTTATGGCCACACCACTTGGCAGGTGGGATCTTAGTGCCAGGGCCAACGATGGAACCCCATGTCCCCTGCATTGGAAGAGCAGAGCCTTAACCACTGGACCACCAGGGACGTCCCTATATCTTTTTCTGTGTATCATCCATACAGGTCAGGTTATCCAACCATACACTGAGATCATATAAAATTATGTGCCTGGATAATTGCTTAGTTTCTGTGTCTAGTTCTCTTATGTGCATGTACTAAGTTGCTTCAGTCATGATCAACTCTGTGTTATCCCATGAACTAGCCTGCCGGGTTCCTAGGGGCAGAACCCATAGTCCATGGGGTTCTCCAGGCAGAATTACTGGAGTGGGTTGCTGGGCCCTCCTCCATGAATTCCATGAAATCAGGGACTGTGAGAATTTTTCCCTCCATCATCCCACCAGGGCACCAGAGTGCCTGACACACAGAAGGTACAAAACAAATACCTTTTTAAGTAAATCAATATTGATACAGATGAAAAAATGGGTCTATCACCCTGGAATGCAACAAAATCCCCACTGTAGCTTTCTCTACATCTGAGGCAGTCAGCGACTCTCTCCATCAACCTGAAGATTCAGTCAGTTGGTCCTCTCTGGTCCCCAGTTCAGTAGAATATTGAGTGCCCTGATTGGGTAGGAGCTAGGGGGTAGGGGATGGAGGTGAAGCAGGAAGGGGCCTCACTGACTCCTCCATGTTTCAGTGATGTTCCTTATTGAATTTTTAAAATTTTAATTCCATTTTTCCAGTAGTCATGTATGCATGTGAGAGTTGGACCACGAAGAAAGCTGAGCCACTGAAGAATGGATGCTTTTGAACTGTGGTGTTGGAGAAGACTCTTGAGAGTCCCTTGGACTGCAAGGAGATCCAGCCAGTCCATCCTAAAGGAAATCAGTCCTGAATATTCATTGGGAGGATGGATACTGAAGCTGAAACTCCAGTACTTTGAAGAGGAGAACTAACTCATTGGAAAAGACCCTGATGCTGGGAAAGATTGAGGGCAGGAGGAGAAGGGGACGATAGAGAATGAGATGGTTGGATGGCATCACTGACTCCATGGACATGAATTTGAGTAAGCTCTGGGAGTTGGTGAAAGACAGGGAAGCCTGGCGTGCTGCAGTTCATGGGGTCGCAGAGTCGGACACGACTGAGCGACTGAACTGAACTGAATTCAGCTGTGTCAGGTCGTAGCTGCGGCATGAGGGATCTTCCTTTACATCACACAGGTTCTCCCGTTACAGATTCTAGCACAGGCTCAGTCACTGCAGCGGGAGGGCTCCGCAGAACTCACGCTACAGTAGGTGAAGCACCCAGGCTTAGCTGTCCTGAGGCAGGTGGGATCTTAGTTCTCTTGGGATCAAACCCAAGAACCCTGCATTGCGAGATGAACTGTTAACCACCAGATCACCAGGGAAAAGACCCTGATGCTGGGAAAGATTGAGGGCAGGAGGAGAAGGGGACGATAGAGAATGAGATGGTTGGATGGCATCACTGACTCCATGGACATGAATTTGAGTAAGCTCTGGGAGTTGGTGAAGGACAGGGAAGCCTGGCGTGCTGCAGTTCATGGGGTCACAAAGAGTCGGACATGACTGAGCGACTGAACTGAACTGAATTTAGCTGTGTCAGGTCATAGCTGCGGCATGAGGGATCTTCCTTTACATCACACAGGTTCTCCCGTTACAGATTCTAGCACAGGCTCAGTCACTGCAGTGGGAGGGCTCCGCAGAACTCACGCTGCAGTAGGTGAAGCACCCAGGCTTAGCTGTCCTGAGGCAGGTGGGATCTTAGTTCTCTTGGGATCAAACCCAAGAACCCTGCATTGCGAGATGGACTGTTAACCACCAGATCACCAGGGCAGTCTCCCTGCTGAATTACTTCCTAAAAATTTCCACTTGTTTCCTAAAAATTTCCACTTGTTTCCATGGTGTTCTTTTCTACTTTGGGTCTCCAAAACTTGTACATATATACCAATGAAGTATATCACAAAATTATATGAATTATACATTTTCAAGTTATTGGATTACAAAAATCCAGTTTTAAAAGCTTATTTCTGGATACTCAATGGAACTCACCCCTTTGTTTACAAATAGCGATTACAATTCAGACATTCATTAACAACTTTTATTCATCTGCATTATTTCTGCATTTTCATTATTTATTATTCAAAATAAAATGTTTGTTTTACCTCAATTCACACAGATCAACTGATACATTAATTCAGACCAAAAGAAGCTGCTCAAATGAAAATAGTATTGTCCAAGATGGGTAGATGTCACATGAACCACTCAGGTCTAATTCTCATCGTAATTAAAAAAATGGTACTTATCACAGAGCGAGTCCTAGTGCAAGGGAGCCACACTGGTCTCCTTGTAATCCTTCCTCCCTATAAAACCCTTTATCACCAGAAACCTGAAGTTATGCAGATCTGAAGTTAACCAACTCTAAGCTGCAGTCCTACCTAGTACCGACCAAGTTCCCAAGTAAACAGGTCATAGACGAAACAGTGTATAATTTATAGTCATGATTTAAAGTAAAAATATGTGAAAAGTCCCTTAGATAGTATTTTTCCTAATTAATAAATGATCATGTGACATTTTCACCCACTATCTAAGACTTTTATCCTTGTCCTATTTTTTTTCTTCCAATCATTACATTTTTTCAAGTCAACTGAAACCTTTACCATTCGATCATACCTGTTTTTATTTTTCCACATTATCTTCTAATTTTTGTCCACACCAAATACATTTTAGTTATAATACTCAATATTTTGCTAACTCTATCTTTCACTTAACAGCCTGTGGTCACCATTTCCACATTATGAAATCTTCACTATTGTTTTTCATGGCTGTCTAATATCCTCTAATTTCCTTAAGCATAGACTTATTTTTTACCTTTGGGGGCATTTATTATTTTTATGCTATTAAATACATTTTTATAATAATTTCTTCAGTCTTTCAAATTGTTTCTTTGGTAGGTTTCTAGGAGAGAAAATAAGGGTCAAAGCATGTGAATGTTTTTATGATTCCTTCTGTGCTTAGTTATTTAATCATTTTACAAAAAAGATGGGTTGATTTCTATTGTTCAAGGAGTCTGAATGTATCACTTTTACAAAGACCTCACCACAATTCACTTTTAGCTTTAATTTTTTAAATTGTAACAAATGTAAGTTAAGTGTTGCTCTTTAGTAATTATCAATGGAGTTGAACACTATTCCATATGCTTATTCTATAGGATTACAGGCATCTTCTATGCACATTCTTAACCCACCATTCTATTTCCTTCCATTTTTTCAGATCTATTTAACTGGCAACTTCAGTCATGAAAACAAATCTCTTACCTGACCTAAATGCAAAAGACAATAGAAACAGAATTAGCACAAACTTGTCATGTTACCTTAGAGAACTGGGCTGTCACCAGAACCACATTAACAGAAGAATAATCCCTTCCAGGGAAATACTAATACCATCTATTTACCCTAGTCAGTCTGGCGTTGAAAGAAGAAAACGTATTACTCAGGATTTGAGGATCTTGATTAGAAAGTTATAAATCTTACTTCTAAATCACCAAATAGCTTTTCAAAAAACACAGTGATTGGTCATTAATGGTGAAACATACTAAATATAATCAAGCATCCAGTGAAGGAGCCGGGAACAGTGATGCAATTCACACACAGTAAGATCAACCTGATTTACACAATGTCCATACAGAAGAACAGAGCTTGCGATAGTCTGGATCCTGCATTTACTGGATGAAGGACATGCCCCACGTCACTTGACATCGCAGAGAAGGGCAACTCCACGCAGCACCCAGTGTTCAGGGGCCTGGGCCGTCCTGAGGTCTACAGCAGCGATGTAGTTCAGGTCTGTTCGGACCGGCTTCTTGTAGATGGGACAAGAGTACAACCGAGGACCTCTCACAGCTACGACAAAAACCATCAAAAATCTCAGTGAATTTCTCATTCATGCAGTCCCCGAACAGAGTGCAGAGCCAAATGTGTGCATCTGGAAGGTCACAACGGGCTGGGCAGAATGAGGGAAATTCCTCCTGAGGTCAGGCAATTTCCCTAGATGCGAAGCAGATGCTATCAAGCATTCCTAGGGGCGGTGTGACAAGCTACCCAGACGGCCTCACATTTACCCCACCCACCTCGTGTCCCACAGCCTTGACTCTAATCCCAGTCCCTGCGACATGACCACCTGCTACTTCCTCTCCCTCCTTTCCACCTGTCAATTCAACTTTGCACCTCCCCCCTGCCCCCGTACCTCCCCCCCAAAATCTTGTGCCCTCACACCTTCTTTGGTTTTTGCATATGGTTTGCCTTTGGCAAAAGGCACTTGTCCCTTCTAGTCACATACCCAGCACCAATGCTCACTGGTACTTCACTATTATTATTGCAAAATCCTTCTTCAACCCTTTTTGCCATAGTCCAAACCACATTGGGCTTCCCTGGTAGGTCAGTCCATAAACAATCTGCCTGTAGTGCAGGAGACTTGGGTTTGACCCCTGGGTCAGGAAAATCCCCTGGAGAAGGAAATGGCTACCCACTCCAGTATTCTTGCTGGGAAATCCCATGGAGAGAGGAGCCTGGCAGGCTGCAGTCCATAGGGTTGCACAGAGTTGGACATGATGTAGCGACTAACCTACTACCAAACCACATTGGAAATCACAGGACAGAGGATGTTCCCCAACCCTACCAGGTGTTGTGAGTTCTCCATGTGTGTAGAGAAATACAAATGGCGGGAAGCAGAGAGCCGTGGCACAGTTCAGCTCTCTAAAAGTCAATCTACTCTTCTGGAGTAGGTGAAAAATACATGGAATCTCCATGATCACATCTGTCATGAGAGACAATCTCTGTATCCATCCTGTATACGTCCTCTCTTAGGCATTCTCTCCAGCCCTGGAATCCCCGTGCTGAGGATGGATGCAGATCTTTTGTGACTTCAAACTTATATAGTTTGGAGAAGGGACTTCTTTTAAGAAAAAGAGTATAATTTGCAAATGCCAAATTAAGTTTTGGAAAAAGCCTCTGTTTTGAGTAGCCCTGGAGTTTAAGCTTCAGGAGCTTCCTGTTAAATCCACTCCTACCCATAATAGTTTATTTGCACATCTTGTAACATCCATCTTTGGAGGCAGTATATTATTCCTTTTTCTCTCCCAGACTATAAACTATTTCAGGACAGAAGTTATGTCTGCATTCCTCCATGTACTTCTCTGGAAGGCCAACGTTATAAATGATCCTAACATAACTACTGAGATGAAAACACATTTAACTAAGAGGATAACTTTGGAGAAATAGTGTTATAAATATAGAACTTTCAAAACGCAATATTAATATATTAGTGATATTGAACATATTTCCCAAAAACTAATTTCCTCAATAATTCAGCTTTTCCTAACATCAAAAAACAAGGCAACAGCAACAGTTAAAGTCTCATTTTTAGACCCAATAAAACCTTCAAACTTCTATGCTGTGTGTGTATGTGTGTGTGTATGTTCAGTATTATCCAACTCTTTGATACTCCATGGACTGTAGCCAACCAGGTTCCTCTGTCCACAGGATTTTTCAGGCAAGAATACTGGAGTGGGGTGTCATTTCCTTCTCCAGGGGATCGTCCCAACCAAGGGATAGAATTCATGTCTCCTGTGACTCCAACTGCCAATGGGAAGCCACCTGGAAGCCTCTCCACTATAAATCTAATTCATTTTGTTGGAAGAAATTAAACATTTGCATATGATAGCACTTTACAAAAGTTTCAATAAAAGTAGTTTAAAGCCACAATTCTTAACCAAATGTGATTTTTTTACCAGGGTACTAATATCTGGAGACATATTTGGTTATCACAATTGGGAAGGTGCGACTGGCAACTGGTGGCTAGAGGCCAGGGACACTGCTAGCATCCTGTGATGCACAGGACGGTCCCTCACAAGACTCATCTGGGCCAAATGTGTCACCAACACCAAGGCTGAGGAATTCTGTTCTAAAACAATATCACAGATATTTTACAGTACTCTAAAATGAGGCATTTGCTTAATTCCATGAAATTAATTATTAGAAACCATCTAAGTTAATGTAATACCTAATTTTTAAGTCTAGCTACTAGACTTATGAGAATATCATAAGTGATAACAAGGCAAACATATGAAAATTCCAGCTGAGCTATTTCAAATCCTAAAAGATGATGCTATTCAAGTGCTGCACTCAATATGTCAGCAAATTTGGAAAATTCAGCAGTGGCCACAGGACTGGAAAAGGTCAGTTTTCAATCCAATCCCAAAGAAGGGCAAAGTCAAAGAATGTTCAAACTAGCACACAATTGCGCTCATTTCACATGCTAGTATGGTTATGCTAAAAATTCTTCAAGCTACGCTTCAGCAGTATGTGAACCAAGAACTTTCAGATGTACAAGCTGGATTTAGAAAAAGCAGAGGAACCAGAGATCAAATTGCCAACATATGCTGGATCACAGTGAAAGCAAGAGAATTCTAGAAAAATATCTAACTTCTGCTTAATTGACTATGCTATAGCCTTTGACTGGACAGATCACAACAGACTATGGAAAATTCTTCAAGAGATGGGAATACCAGACCAACTTACCTGCCTCCTGAGAAACCTGTATGCAGGACAAAAGCAACAGTTAGAACCGGATGGAACAATGGACTGGTTCAAAACTGGGAAAGCAGTACATTGAGGCTGTATATTGTCACCCTGCTTACTTAACTTATGTGCAGAGAACATCATGAGAAAGGTCGGACTAGATGAATTACAAGATCCAACCAAGATTGCAGAGAGAAATATCAACAACCTCAGATATGCAGGTGATACCACTCCAATGGCAGAAAGTGAAGAGGAAGTAAGAGGAGAATGGGAAAGCTGGCTGGAAACTCAACATTCAAAAAACTAAGATCATGGCATCCGGTTCCATCACTTCATGGCAAACAGAAGGGGAAAAAGTTGAAACAGTGACAGATTTTCTTTTCTTGGGCTCCAAAATCATTGCAGATGGTAACTGCAGCCATGAAACTAAAAGATATTTGTTTCTTGGAAGGAAAGCTATAACAAACTTAGAGTATTCAAAAGCAGAGATATCACTTTGCCAACAAGGGTCCATGTAGTCAAAGCTGTGGTTTTTCAAGCAGTCGTGTACAAATGTGAGAGTTGGATCATAAAGAAGGCTGAGCACTGAAGAATTGATCCTTTTGAACTCTGGTGTTGGAGAAGACTCTTGACAGTCTCTTGAACAGCAGGGAGATCAAACTAGTCAGTCTTAAAGAAAATCAAACCTGAATATTCATTGGAAGGATTGATGTTGAAGCTGAAGCTCCAATACTTTGGCCATCTGACGTGAAGAACTGGCTCACTGGAAAAGACCCTGATGTTGGGAAAGACTGAAGGCAAAAGGAGAAGCGGGCAGCATAGAATGAGATGGTTAGATAGCATCGCTGACTCGACAGACACAAATTTGAGCAAACTCCAGGAGATAATGAAGGACAGAGGAGGATAGCATGCCACAGTCCATGAGGTCAAAAAGAGTAGGACAGGGTTTAGCGACTGAACAACAATAACTAAATGAAAATTTCTGATTAAATAAGTGAATGACTCAATTTGAGGAGTGCAATTAATAATAACTACACTAACTGATGTATTTAAACCCTTAATCCTAGGGTCTGAACATATAACAGATATTTAACTAATTGTTCTTCTTGATACACATTTCACTAATAATCATTTTATAACCCTTGAAAAAAGCCCCTTTTTATAAAGTCTTATATTTGAAATAAGTGATAAACATAATAATTGCACCTTGGGAAGTATTTGATTATTTGGGTTTTAATCCCAGAAGAAAAATACAGTGGGAAAAAAATGGCATTCTTTTCAATAAGCAGGTAAAAAAGGCAATTCTCTGAAATATTTATCCAATTTTATTTATTTTTAATTGCTTCAGAAGGGAAGGTATCCACGCCAAGTCACAGCATGTAACAACCTTCTGCAGCAGGATTAGAAACTACTAAAAATATAACTTCATTGAAAAAGTGCTGACAGATGCTTTATAAACAAGCACATAAACATCTGAAACTATTACCCCTGGTTAGACAAAAAAAATGAAGGCAAAATAAACATGCTAGGTAGGTAGAACAAATCAGCTAAATATGTTTAAAACCGTGGGGCTCCAGAAAGAGAAGCAGAGAGATGAAGGTGTCTAAATTGGTGAGCTATATGCTTTGGGATACTAAAGGTTTCAATAAAACACCTTGAGGAAATTTCATTTTCTAACTGTATAACTTCTCTCTCTCTAGCCTATGTTTTTCATGCAAATGTCAGTATACCATTACATCATATATTCTTTTCAATATGTAAAACAACCAAGTTACCTAGAGATTCCTTATGTCATTCCTTTATTTAATCCCTCTTTTGCTTCAACAATACGTGAGCCGTGAACTTCCAGAGGTTCAAGCTGGCTTTAGAAAAGGCAGAGAGAGGAACCAGAGATCAAAACTGCCAACATCCACTGGATCACCGAAAAAGCAAGAGAATTCCAGTAAAACATCTACTTCTGCTTTATTGACTATGCCAAAGCCTTTGACTGTGTGGATCACCACAAACTGTGGAAAATCCTGAAAGAGATGGGAATACCGGACCACCTGACCTGCCTCTTGAGAAATCCATATGCAGGTAAGGAAGCAACAGTTAGAACTGGACATGGAACAACAGACTGGTTCCAAATAGGAAAAGGAGTACGTCAAGGCTGTATATTGTCACCCTGCTTATTTAACTTACANGCTGCAAGTGATGAGAAAATCTGGATGGAATGGATTGGGAGCCTAAGCTCTTAACCTCAACAGTGTGACATACTCTATGTATGTGCCTCCATGCTTTTTTGCAGAAAGATGTAAACATGAGCCAGCTATAACTAGATACCT